TAAGTAATATTTCTGATTTCTAATCACATGAAATTGTCTAAAAAGACTAATATTATGAACTATATGAGTATTTTAGATTAATTTGAATTATCAATCATAATCACTGTACCCTCAAAACCAAGCAACAATTCGTAGAATAAAAAATTAAAACAATAAAAGTGGAAGAAATCTTTGATAATCAACAGTATAATAATAGAGTTAATAAGTGGAATAGACCTTTGACGGTTTGTAAGGAAAAGGCAGCTCAAATGGATACCTATCAAGCGGGTCATACCATTTTCCAAAAAAAACCAAAAAATTAATAATAAGCAAAGAATTTTATGTCCCAAAATATAAAGGATAAATATTAAATAAAGAATAATTTGGTCAGGACTAAAAAAAATAATTGGAAAAGGCAAAATTAATGGGATTTAATTGATAGTGGAAACAATAGTACCGACATCTTCATTAATTTTCATTGAATACCCTTCAAAGAGAATGATGTCAATGAATTTTTCTGCACAATAATATCATGGAAATTCTCTGCAGATTACACAGTTTTCGAAAATCTTCTAGGACCTATTTTAAGGGAAATCTTATATTGAATTATTTTAAAGGAATATATATTCCCAAAGGAAATATACTCTATGTACATAGTTTACCGACAAAGGAAATATATTTATGGATCCATAGAATATTCATGTCTTAAATATTTGTTCTATAAAAGTTAAGGAAATATTTTGATTCGATATTAATCTGTTCATGAAATATTTATAGATTTTTTTTAAACTTTTGACCGGGAACGATTACCAAACGATAAAACAAAAAGTAGAGACTGGAAAACAAAACCATATATAGATAAAATTTAATGAGTAATTGTTTTACCAAAAAACAAATTCAATCATTAATCATTGGGATCATTGTAACTACGTCACACACACACACACATTTTCCCTGTAAAAGCAGAAGTATTTTTAAATCACTTTAGATTTAAAATTAATTTCTATTGAATCGTAAGCGTTAAATTTAAAACACTTACAACAAATATACTTATTGGAATTCAAACTTATGTTATTCTTTTTATTGGGGTGAGACCATTTACCATCCCAATCAACACCTTATTAGTGATATTACATATCTTTTAATTTTGAAAGGATCCTCTCATTCATTTACCAAGGTTTGTACTACTGAGATACCAAAGGGGGGGATTAGATCTTAGGTCAAGTTTTTTATATTTATTATATCAAGTTCTCTAATCACTTATAAACATGTGTCCTATTTTGTTTCATGTGAATTTATAATTAAATGATAATATTTTTAAAATGGGACATATGATAATGTGTGGTTGAAGAATTTGATATAATAAATATAAAAAACTTGATGTAAATATTATGTATAATAAAAATGACAGAATCATATAGAAATTAAATGTATATAAGTTCAAATAATTATCCTGGATAACCAGTGACCTTGTTGCACAATCACATTAAACACCTCCCTTAAATGTCTTTTAAAGCGTACTATTTCTTAGTCTTTTTGGATGCGTTTGATATGAGCAAAATTTAGGGGAGGGGAAGAGGGAAAAAATTTTAATGGGTTCATTTTTATAGTTTTATTTTATATCTTATCTTATTAAAATTTTAAAACTTTATTTCTCTTATTTTTTAAATCGAACTCATTAAAAAAAATTTCTCCATTCCTATCCTTTCATTTTCCTCATACCAAACATACAGTTAATCTTTGCTGACTTGTCAAACTTATGTGATGGATATAATATGCAACTAAATGCTCACAAAATATCAACAAAGATAGAGTTGTTTTTTCGCTTTAATTTTTTTTATTTACATAACTTAAAATATAAAAATATTATATTAAAAATATTAAAATGCAAGCACGCTTTGTCAGCGTTTAATCGCACAGTCATCATTTAAGTTTGATAAGTCATTATTTTTCGTTAGATAAAATCTAACGATATTAAGATTGAAGGAAAAAAATGCACTGTATAAATTTATTAGGAAACTAAAATAAAAATTAATATAAACGTAAAGAATCAAACATATACTTTAGCTATATATTAATTAGTTAACATCACCCCTAATATACTAACACGAGTAACAGTAACGCCAAATGGGTGCTCACTCGTGTACATTTTTCACCGTCGTTGAAAAAATGAATACTTTGCAATCTTTTTCTTAATTAGATTTATCATTAATTTTAGCAAAAGAGACACGTACACTTATACGGCATATTATACAGGGTCATTAATCTAATACTACCTCCGGTTCTAATTATAAGAGCTAGTTGACTAATTTAAAAAGATTAAAAAAAAAAGTTAAGTTAGTTATTTATAATAAATGTGTTGTCTTTCGTAAAATATCTTTGCTAATCAAGTGTATTGGCTAGAACTATCATTGTTAGAAGGTCTACCTAGAGAAAGAATGCATAAGTATAAGAGAAAAACTGGACTAGGGTCTTATATTTAGGATCAAAATAAAAGTCAAACAAGGTCTCTTATATTAAGAACCGGAGGTCGTATAAAAACTAGTTGACTAATTTGAATGGATTAAGAAAATTAGTTAAATTAGTTATTTATAATAAATATGTGTTATCTTCTCTAAAATATCATTGCTAATTATATGTACTAGCTAAAATTAATATTAGATAAAACCTTTAACATGTGGTGTATACAACTACCATAAAGACTATTTTTAAAAAAATAAATAAATATGAGAAATAAAATAAATTGGGTCTTATATTTAAAACTAAAATAGATATCAAATTAGTTCTTATCCTAATGAGCAGAAATAATACTGCTTTTTCGTAAATTATTGTTCAGTGGAGGGATTTGGACTAGATCTCCAAATTGATTTGGTCCTCCGTCCAAATTTTGAAAGTGATCGTCAAGACTTGAACCTTTACCAATATGAACAATTTTTTTCAGAAGATCCAGAAGCTCTCCTCCTCCTGCTGGTAAAAAAAAAAACCAGGCTCTCCTCCTCCAACGGCTTCATGTGCCTTTCACTAATATTTTTTCAGTTAAAGCAGCAGACGCTGATGACTTGGAATTACAAATGGATTGAACATGTGATTTTTCACTTACAGGAAAGCTCTAAATCTGTAAGGCCATTAGCTCCTCTTGGAGATATATATATATATATATATATATATTAATTGCAGAGCAATTGTTCATACTTGATGAGAAATAAAATTTAAATGGCGTATCTTCTTTGATTCTGTTCGTGAACATTTTTGAGCTGCAAATTATGGATCTGATGCAAAAGATATCAACAACTAACACTAATTTCTATTAAAGAATGCAAGCAGAGGAGAGAAAAAAATTGAAGTCCTAGGGCTTTTTATTATTATTAAAAACAAATTTTTATTTTAAAAAATAAAAAAACTTATTTGATAATAAACAAATTTTAGACATTTTTTTTTAGTATTTCTTCCCCCCCAAAAAAAAATTGGGGAAACCTTTTTTCTCTTCCAACCCAATACTAACCACAAACCAAGTATGACTACCGGCCCAAATATTACTTTTTATGTTTTTTGTTTCAAATGTAAGTTTTTAACCATTGTTCATGGGTTCAGTGGTGGGAATCACACCTCCTCATCCGAAAAAGAGGAGGTTTGATTTTTCTTCACGACGCTTGGAAAGGCATCTTAAAATAGAGATGTCTAGGTTAGTGCCTAGGGATATAATGTAGATTCTTCCTGCCCGACATTGATGTCACTTAAGAGGAACTATTCAAGTGCTCTGCCTTTGGTTTGGGTTAAACCCGAACCCCTACCTAAAATTTTGTTACCAAAATAAAAAAGTAATTTTTTTAAAATAATTATCTAAACATTTTTTTATTCTCCACTTATTTTTAAAAGAATTTCACAAAATTATTTTGAGAATAAGAAAACAGAAAACCGAAGCAAACAAACCTTTATTCTTGAAAATCCTGCAAAAAAATTGAGAGGAACAAATGGACAATCTTCTTCTGCAATGTCTCGGTGCCAAGATCTTCTTTTTCAAAAAAAAAAAGAGATGTTACGTTTCAATTGAAAAATACTACCTTAAATCTTTAATATAAAACTAGTTTAATATTTAATTTAATCCCAAATATGACCCGACTCAACTTTATCTTTTATATCTATCTATTTTTTTATATTTATATATTTTTAAAGATAATTCTTGTAATAGTTATACATGTTACACATTTTATAGACTTTTTCCTACCAAAAAAAATTTTAGATGAATTGATCTCAATGCTAAAGCATATTTCCAGACTCAAAAAACACTTACAAAAGTACTTATAAATTACTCATCAACTAAATCCTCATATCAATAGTAAGATTTGAACTCATAATTTTATAAGTTATTCTGAACCAACTCTTTATCAAATAGACCAACTCTTGTTGGTCAAACTCCATAAACTAGTAGTTCTAACTGATACATATTATTAACAAAGATATTTTAGATAAAAAACAACCCATATTTATTATAAGTAACTTACTTAACTAAGTTTCTTAATCTATTCAAATTAGTCAACTTATTCAACCTATAGTAATTCGTAGTATTACGAACACAAATTCATGAAATTTTTGTAAGGCACCCTCTTTATCACCAGCATGTGCACTTTAAAAATGATCACAAACCCGAGTTATAAACTTAAATACAAACTAAGGTCCCTCATCTGAATATATCATAGAACACCTCTTTCTTACACATCATTAATCATCAGATTATTATCATTTGGTCAAAGGAACCAGTCCGACTTGGTCCGATGAAATATCCCACATCAAGGCCAGCTTCAAGATTAACACAAGATCAGGAATAGAGAGCCAGCGTCACAGTGAACTCTTCCTATATGGATTTCATAGAATTTAAAGCCACACGATCCAACCAGAAAGGTTCAAACGCAAATTGGCCACGAAAATACTAGATTGTTGTTATAAAGAGACAAGAACGGCAATGAAGCTGTACAATGCGGAGGTAACAACTAAGACCTCTCTCAACGTTCAAACTGTAAACAATCTGATTATGCCTAAACAAAGCGCTTAATAGGCCTCCCCCCGACCACAAGTGGCAGTAACTATATGCTCCCACCGCAACGAAAAATATCCCCAATACCAATTATATGTCAGCCGCAAGGAAGTTACCGGTCAGTGTAACCTGCATAAAATTAACCCATGATGCGAAATAAGAAATAAGATACAACGGATCTTCGAACATTAGGATCCGTGATTTTTTTTTTTTAACTCCCTCTTTTTTCTTAGTGAAAACCTTCTTCCCGATTGAGACGAAGTTACCAAAATTCATAGGAGAGGATCCATGCTCAACCCAAAAAATGACACATTAAATTCAGAGGGCTAGGGAGTTACAAGAAGAGTACCTTTTCACCCAACTTGAATGGAGGAAGACCCTTGTAAGGGCAGGTGCTGCACCTGAAAGCATCCCCTAAACCACACTGCAGGTGAAGAGCCAACTGTGAGAGCAATGCTGACCATTGGGGGAAAAAAAAAAAAATCACAGGAAGATCATCCATTTGAGTGTGACACATGAAGGATGAATTATTCCCAGACTTCGTATCATGGCGTTTGTCCATCAATTGCAAGTCCAAATAGTATATTCCCCCATAATAAACAAACCAAAAAATCAGCTAATCATGCATAATAGCTTGTAACAACATGAAGGCAAAGATTAATATGAAGATTTAACTTGGTCCTAAATACAAGGCATTAATCTATTTTGTCTCATATTTATCTATTTTGGCTCCCAATAATCTGTATGGCAATTATAATAATTGTTTCAATCCACATGATTAACAAAAATATTTTAAGAAAAACAACATCTATTTATTATAAATAACTAACTAAACTAATTTTATTAATATTGCAAATTAGTTATCTGGTTTAACTAATTTTATTAATATTGCAAATTAGTTATCTGGTTTTTATATTAAGAACCAAAGGCAGTAAATCATGCATTCCATCATTGTTACTGCGTCCCCCAAAAAAAAACACACACACACACAGACACACACGTATTTAAAAAAACAAAAATCACTTCATTCTAACCATCCTAAGCTTCTGTAGATCATCTGCACTAAATAAGCTGTGTGACCAGAGAATTGTCAAAATATCAAATCAGTAGTCACACTAAACTGAATTTATTCATCTCATACTCCAAAACAACAGAGAACTAAAAATTAGCCTTTTTCCCCACAGCAAGTCGCTTTAACAGCACAGAAAACAAACGCCCTAAATCCCAATTGAAGGTAACATATGCTGAAACAGAATACTTCCGAAAAAAGACATACACTGCCACAAGCTGATTGAGGATTATTGATCTGTTCTGCACTCAATCCTAACTTCAATACCATCTCTTCTTCTTCAGCCCTTCCGCAAGTGCAGTTTTTGCATGCTTTTCTTGTACTTCCAACTTCACAATCACCTATTGCACGAGCATGTTACTAAATACAAGAAAAGAAAACCAATAAATCAGCAACTGAAATTAGAGGAGTACTATTTACCAGTTGGCAATTGGGGTTTCTTCAAATCCTCTTCAGTCAAAAGACTATCTTCATCTATAAGGTCTGTATCATCATCAATTTGCACTTTGGGTGGAGTCTTCACTGCCTTTTTTAGGGCAAAAGAAGAACCAATTTTCCATGAAGGCTTTTTCGCTTTAATCTATGTGCAATGCAAAACAATTATACTGTTAGAATAGTAAGTTCCATGCTGCATAGGTAGGAAAAATAAGTTTGGTAGAATAAGAGTTTCACGTCTGAGTGTATGTTAGATATTTTAAAGCCATAATAAGTATTATTACAACCTACAGTTCAAATTACCTGCAATAAATTTTTATTCCGTCCTATTCTTGCATTAGAAACAAGCAAGGGCAAACGAGCAATGGACACTGAATAAATTGAAGAAAAGAAATCAAATGGCAGAAAATAAACTTACCCCAGAAGGCTTGATTTCTGATGAGGTGGTTGATTTTAATTCTAAAATTTGTGTTTCTGAAAACCCTGCCAACAGTAACTTGTGCTCAAGATCAGACATCATCTGCAAGATGAGATGAAATTGAAATCACTTACAACCAAGAGCCGAAATTATAAATTTATAACCCACAACCATTTTACTTACCCCAGCTTTTATATAACCGAACCATACCTGTTGGAAGACAAAGCCCAAGCCCAATAAGCTGTGTTTTATTTATTTATTAATTCCATTCTTTGTATTCAGTTTATCAGTCTGATTAGATTTATCAGATAGATTAGGATAGATCTCTTTGATTTAGTCATTTACCCTAGATTTAGGTATCTTAAACAAGTTATATAATGTACTTACTGCTTCAGTAATATATACCGATTAAGAACTATTGCTCTCCTCTCTCATGGTATCAGAGCGGCAACAGAGAGAGAGAGTGAAAGTCGCGGCTTTGACCGCAGCTAGGACCAGTCGGAGAAAGAGTGAAAGTCGCGTCCTTATTCGCGACTAGGACCAGTAGGACCAGTCGGAGAAAGAGTGAAAGTCGCGTCCTTATTCGCGACTAGGACCAGGTAATCTGATCGCAGGAAGACCGACGACAAAAGCATTTGAAGTTGGCGACTGAAGACCAAGGGAGCATGACTGGGTCGAGCGACTGAAGACCCAGTGCCCAGTGATCGCGTCTGAAGATCGAGTGAGCTCGTCTGGGTTGAGCGATTGAAGACCAAGTGACTGCGTCTGAATTGGCAAACGCCAACAACCGAGAAATTTGATCGCATTTGAGTGAGCAACTGAGACCGAGTTGAACAAAGGCACGGTCATATTCGTGCTACCTGGTGAACCCGACGTGAACCCGACGTGAACCCAACTGAGACAGAGTTACACAAAGGCACGGTCGTATTCGTGCTACCTGGTGAACCCGACGAGATGGAATCTGGTGAATTTCCACCTCTATTTGGCACAATGAGGCGCCCTTCATCAGCGTTTACAGCAGGTACAGCACCATCATCGTCTTCTTCTGCATTGGGTTCTTCTGTATCGGGCACGGGTTCTTCTCCTTCAATGGTAATAGAATCTGGATTAACCACCGAGACTCCTCAGATGTTGGTCGCTCACAAGTTGACTGGAAGTAATTATTTACAGTGGTCTCAAAGTGTCCTGATGTACTTACGAGGCAGAAGAAAAGAAAAATACATAACTGGGGAGGCCCCACAACCAAGTCCTGATGACTCAAAGTATGATACTTGGTTTGCTGAAAATAATCTGGTGATGACCTGGTTATGCAACTCCATGACAATAGATATTAGTGAAGGCTATCTGCTTGCTAAGACGGCAAAGGAAATATGGGATGCTGCTAAAAGAACATACTCAGCTATGGAGAATACTGCTGCTCTGTTTCAAATAAAAAAGGCACAGAGAGAGATGAAACAAGGAAGCATGACAGTGACACAATATTATACTGTTCTCACACGCTTGTGGCAGCAGTTGGACATGTTTGATGTCCATGAATGGAAGTGCAGCAGTGATGCCCAACTATATAGGGAACTGGTTGAAAAAGAAAGAACCTATGAGTTCTTACTTGGTCTCATTGACATGTTTGATGACGTAAGGGGAAGAATTATGGGAATGAAGCCACTGCCATCACTGTTCGAAGCTTTCAACATGGTCAGATGTGAAGAAAGCAGAAAACGACTCACCCTGAGTGTATCTGCACCCTCTGAGTGTTCAGCGTTAGCAGTACATGGTAACAATGGATCAGATCAGAGGGGAAAGAAGAACTCCAAAGGATGGTGTGACCATTGCAACAAAAATGGTCATACTAGGGATATATGCTGGAAATTACACGGCAAACCAGCAAATCTGAAACAAAAACGAAGACCGGAGAATAGGGGGTATGCTGTGGTGACCAACGAGAATGAGGAGAATGGAGAAACTCTTAGCCGAGAAGAACTACAAGTACTCAGACGAATTCTTGAGAAGCATAATAACTCTACCTCTACCCCTAAAGCAAATCTGGTGAAGTCAGGTAATTCTGTTATAGCCCTAAATGCCTTGGCAACCAGTGATAATACTTGGATTGTTGACTCGGGAGCTACAGATCATATGACGGGTAATAAAGCTTTGTTCAGAATTATAAAGTATTGCCATGATGAGAATCTTAAAGTGAAAGTTGCTAATGGAATCTTCTCCAAAGTTTGTGGTGTTGGAACTGTCAAGATTTCTGATAACTTAGAATTACAAAATGTTTTATTTGTCCCAGCACTTGCATGTAATTTGCTATCAGTGAGTAAAATAACTAAAAATAATCACTGTCGAGTGTTTTTTGATGATACCGGGTATGTTTTTCAGGATTTGACAACGAGGAGGAGGATTGGCATTGCTAAAGAATGGGACGGACTCTATTATCTTGAAGGCTCAAGGATCACCAATAAACATGTGGGCAAGGCTTTGTTTAGTTCAAATTCTTCAAATAAGGATGTATTATTATGGCACTCTAGGATAGGCCATCCCAGTGTTGACTATATGAAACACTTATTTCCAGATTTATTAAATAAAAGTTCAGTTCCTTTTCTTTGTGAAACTTGCCAGTTTGCAAAACAAACTAGAACTTCCTATCCCAAACAACCTTACAAACCAACCGCACCCTTTACCTTAATACATAGTGATATTTGGAGACCTGCAAGAGTTAAATCAACCTCTAACGCTAGGTGGTTTGTGACCTTTATTGATGACCATACTCGAGTAACCTGGGTATACTTGATGAAAGAAAGATCGGAAATTCTTAATATTTTTAGAAGTTTCCACACATTTGTGAAAACTCAATTCCAAGGGACAATCAAGATATTAAGAAGTGACAATGCAAGAGAGTACCTCAGCACAACCTTAAAGGAATTTCTTGACCAGCAAGGAATCCACCACCAAACCTCGTGTGCATACACCCCGCAACAAAATGGGGTAGCTGAATGGAAAAACCGACATCTCCTAGAAGTCACCCGAGCCATTATGATTGCCAGGAATGTTCCAAACCTATTTTGGGGAGAAGCTATTCTCACATCAGCCTACCTAATCAATAGAATGCCCACAAAAGTACTCAACTATCAAACCCCCATTCAAAAACTTCTTGAAACCTACCCAGATTCACCCCTAGTCTCAGACATTCCCTTGAAAGTATTTGGATGTGTAGTGTATATACATCAAGATGATAGCAACAAACTTGAACCAAGAGCTTTAAAATGTATCTTTCTTGGGTATTCTCCTACCCAGAAAGGTTATAACTTATAAGTGTTATTGTCCCACAACCAGAAGAGTTTATGTTACTAAGGATGCCGTATTTTCCGAAGAAGATGCATACTATCCCAAGTTACCCATTCAGGGGGAGAATTATGACACTGAAGAATGGCTAACCTTGAATGTCCCTGCTCAAACAATCCTAGACATCCCTGAACCAAACCCACAAGCTTCTGAAAACCTAGCTTCCTCTATTCAACCCGAACCTGAAGAACCAAACCCACAAGCTTCCTCTACTCAACAAAATCACAGCCATCTGGAAAATAGTGTTGAGGTGAATACAGGGATGGACCAGGAAGGTAGTACTGAAACTGATGATGAAGAAGAACAACTCGCAGAAGAGCAGCAAAATAATAGAGTCTCTCACATTCCGAGGCATAACCAAATCTCCAATTCAATGTTAGATCCTGAAGAACTTGGGTGGCCAATTGCTCTCAGAAAAGGGGTAAGATCCTGTACTCAGCATCCCATCAGTAAATTTGTTTCCTATGATAAAATATCTTCTAGAATGCAGACATTTGTAGCAAACTCATCCAGTGAGAGAGTACCTAAGACATTTCAAGAGGCTATTGGTAACTCTAATTGGAAACAGGCTATCGATGAAGAGTTGGAAGCATTGAAACAGAATGAAACATGGGAAATTACTTATTTACCCGCAGGAAAGAAGACCGTGGGGTGTCGGTGGGTTTTCACAATCAAGTACAATCCAGATGGAAGCATAAACAAATATAAAGCAAGACTTGTAGCTCGAGGATATACACAAACATATGGGGTTGACTATCAAGAAACCTTTGCCCCGGTAGCTAAGCTAACACCATTAAGGTTCTTTTATCAGTAGCAGCCAATCTAGACTGGCCACTTTATCAGCTAGATGTGAAAAATGCTTTTTTAAATGGGGATCTTAAGGAGGAAGTATATATGGAGATACCTGCTGGCTTGAAGAATTCAACAAATTGCTCAAAGGTTTAAACTCCAGAAATCATTGTATGGATTGAAACAATCCCCTAGAGCTTGGTTTGGAAGATTTTCGATGACCATGAAAAAAATGGGATACTCACAAGGGCACTCAGATCACACACTCTTCATAAAGCATGTTGGTGATCAAATAACCATCCTGATAGTGTATGTAGACGATATTGTGATTACAGGAAATGATGAAGGGGCCGTAAGAAGGTTAAAGAGATCATTGGCAGCTGAGTTCGAGATGAAAGATCTAGGACAGATGAGGTATTTCCTTGGGATGGAAATTAGTAGAACCAAACAAGGAATAAATGTCTCTCAGAGAAAATATACGTTGGATTTGTTGCAAGAAACCGGTATGCTTGGAGCCAAACCTGCAGAAACCCCCATGGAAACTGACTGCAATTTAGAATAGAAGAAGGATGGGATACCGGTTAACACCGGAAGATACCAACGATTGGTAGGAAAACTCATCTATTTGGCTCATACAAGACCAGATATAAGCTACGCCGTGGGAGTTGTAAGTCAGTTTATGAATCAACCGCAAGAGCAACATATGGAAGCGGTATATAGAATTCTGAAATATTTGAAGAAAAATCCAGGAAAGGGGTTATTCTTCAGGAAAGGACAAGCTAGAGGAATAGAGATTTACACAGATGCAGATCATGGGCGGTCCTTGCTAGATAGGAGGTCCACTACTGGATACATCACTCACTTATGGGGAAATCTGGTTACCTGGAGAAGTAAGAAGCAACCAGTGGTTTCCAGAAGCAATGCCGAAGCAGAACTAAGGGCACTAGCCCTTGGGGTCTGCGAAGGAATCTGGA